AAGCGGAAAAAGTGGCGGCACTAATTTCGTCCAATCGCCGCGCGATTCCGCTGATTGTCATTGGCGCGCTGTGAGTGACGCGTCGCGTCTCGTCCTGCCGGTCCCCCCTGGTAACTTCTGAGTCGACGCAAAAGTAATTTCGTTGTCGTTGGCGCGCTGTGAGTGACAGTGACGCATCCCGCCGTTCTAGTCTCCCAAATCCCTCACCCTTTGCCATTTATTGAAATCACTTTTGAGAATTCTCAGAAGTGATTTCAATATAGCCTGTGAGCGACAGTGACGTATCCCACCGTTCTAGTCTCCCCAATCCCTCACCCTTTGCCATTCCTCTCCCCGTTCCCAACCCTTCTGGCATCTCCCCCCCCAACCCCCACACCTACCCGTCTCTCCCCGTTCCCCACCCTCCCTCCCCGCAGGTCCCTTCTCCTCCTGCTCTACCTCCTCCGCGTCCCCCCTCTCCTCCACTCCACCGCCCAGAGCTACAAGGAGGAGCAGCAGCACATGCGAACAGCAGCACAATCTGTTTTTCCTTTTTCCCTCCCCTCCTCTCCCCTTCCCTTCTCACAGGTCCCTTCTTCTCCTCCTCCTGTTCTACCTCCTCCGCATCTCCCATCTCCTCCACTCCACCGCCCAGAGATTGAATGAGCAGCAGCAGAGCATGCGAACAGCAGCTGAACTAGACGAATATTCTGAGCCTGCATTCGACTCCCAAACGCTAGCAGGAGAAAGTTTCCGGGCAGAGACAGCAGCAGCAGGAGGAAATTTCCGGGCAGGAAGTGAATCCCGGGCAGCCGAGAAAAACTTTGTTGATGAGGGCGATCAAACCCGGTCGTTGCCCCGGCACGGGCTGGTTAGCAGTAGCGACGTCCTTCGAAATCCCTCAGCTTTTCGAGAGCTTCTGGCTGGGAAACGAGGGTGGTGGGGGGAAGAAGGGGACGGGGAGGAAGGGGGAGGGGAGGCGGATGGGGGGTCTGGTCTTGGTGCGAGGTGGGAAGGCGATAGGAGAATCGAGGGAAGAGACGATAAAGGAAGCAATGGGAGGGGTGGGGGAGGAGGAGCTGGGGAGAGGGACGAGCGTCAGGAGAGAGAAAACGCGATGGAAGTGCAAGGTAGTAAAGGCAGCAGGGAGGCAAAAGAAGGCGGCCCGGGCGATAGCTTCGGAACCAGGTCCGGAAGCAGCTCTGGAACTAGGTCCGGGAGCAGGTCGGGAAGTAGGCCTGGTGGTAAGCCTGGCGCGGCGGCAGCGGCGGGTACCCCTGGGGATATCCCAGTGGTTCAATTCCTGAGAGCGCAGACGGGGTGTGGGCGGGGCCGGTACGCGTTTGAGACGCTGAAGCAGGCTAGACGGTTGAACTCGCGGGTGATTCTGATCGGGCCTAAGGTGTGCAAGAGAGTGCTGGGGGCGGAAGGGGTGGAGGTGGAGGATTATGACGAGTACAAGGGCGTTGAAGAGGAGTTTGAGAAGACTGTTGGGGAGGTGGTTTCTTACCAGGTGAGTTCAATACTGGGAGATCTCATGTGAGTGCAGCATAGGTGGGTGCTGGGGGCGGAAGGGGTGAAGGTGGAGGATTATGACGAGTACAAGGGCGTAGAAGAGGAGTTTGAGAAGACCGTTGGGCAGGTTGTATCGTACCAGGTCAGTAAAGTGTCGTAGCAAGACATCCTTCAGTCGTCTTTTTTTTTTTTTTTTTTAATATATATATTATATTTGTTCTCATGCAGCGATGGGCCCAACCCCACTTATTCTACATGGACTGTGACGTGCCTCGTGCCTTACTGCTGCCCTGTCACACCCCAACTCCCATTTCCTTCCGCCACATCAGGTGCGGTGGTTTATCCTACACGAGTTCATGCGGCGGTGGGCTTTGCCTCGAATATTCTACATAGACTGCGACGTGCTGCTCTTCGCAAACATCACCCAGTTCGTGCACGCACACCTGCCCAAGACCGACCTTGCACTTGCTATGCGCACGCCCACGTGAGTGAATGGAATGTTCTGTACACGTGAGTCACGCCACGCCTCTTCTTCACATCTCAGCTTGGAGATCAAAGTGTGCTGCTCTTAGCCAACGTCACCCAGTCCGTGCGTTTGAAGAACAACGCACTTATCCATGTCTGACCTTGCACTCGCCGGCCACACCCCCATGTGAGTGCTGTGAAGCCAACTCTTTTGTTTCCTCCTTCAACCATCAAACCTTCTCCCCTTAACCCCATCTTTCTCATCCCAACCCCTTCACCCCCATTCAGCATTCACGTGAGGGCAGTGAGTGCACACGTCTCGCTCTGGTCACAAGAAGCACTGGGAGATTTCCTCACCTTCTTCCGCCTCTTCTTCCAGGCACGCTCCTTCCCTTTGCCCGTTTCTCGTTTCCTTATCCTTGGCTTCGCATTTCCTTAGCGTTCCCAACCACCAAATACCCCTCTGGTCACAAGAAGCACTGGGAGATTTCCTCACCTTCTTCCGCCTCTTCTTCCAGGTGTGCTCCTCTTATTCTCAGCTTGACTGGCTGTTTGAGTTGGCATTGCTTTGCTTTTTCTTAGCATTCTATCAGCAGTTCCTTGGTGTACCTTTCAGCAGTTCTTTTTTTTTTCATTTTTTATACACATATATATATATATACACACACATACATATATACATTTATATACATGTATATATTCCGTATCATTTCCTAACGATGTCATGGTGGTGCTGGGGTGAAATGCTGCTTCTGTATTGTGAAATTTCAGAGGGCTGTCACTCTTCTTTCTCTCCTGCTCCCCCCCCCCCCCCCTTCTCTCTTCTTCCCCATCTCCCTCCACCACAATGCGTGCAGCTTGGAATGGTGGGGGGCACACCGGGCGATCGGTCCCTACCAGCCCAGCGCACATATAACGATATGGTGGTGCTGGGGTGGTATGCTGCTCTTGCGTTTGGGACCTCTGAACAGCGCTGCTCCGCTTTCTGAAACACCCCCACCTCCTCCCTCCCAATGCGAGCAGCTTGGTTTGGTGGGGGGCACACCGGGCGATCGGTCCCTACCAGCACAGCGCACATACAATGACATGGTGGTGCTGGGGTGGTATGCTGCTGTGCTCCCCCTTCTGAACCAGTGTTTTCTCCCTTCTTCCCCTCCTATTGTGCAGCTTGGAGTGGTGGGGGGCACACCGGGGGACCGGTCCCTACCAGCCCAGCGCACATACAACGATATGGTGGTGCTGGGGTGGTATGCTGCTCCTGTGTGCTGGACCAACACCCCCAAGGACACCATTCCGAAAGACGTGAGTGCGCTGGTAGCAAGCAAGCAAGCAGGCAAGCAAGCAGTGAAGGGGATATGGGGCTTCACCTCAGCCCCCTCCACACCCGGCCATTCCCCTCACGCTGACACCCTCACCCCTGCCCATCAGTGCCTGGCGCAATCAATGCGGGTGATGCGTACGAGGATACAGGGCAGGTTACTTTTGAGTCGACTCAAAAGTCACCTGAGTCGACTCAAAAGTCACCTCGCAATCAATGCGGGTGATGCGTACGAGGATACAGGGCAGGTTACTTTTGAGTCGACTCAAAAGTCACCTGAGTCGACTCAAAAGTCACCTCGCAATCAATGCGGGTGATGCGCACGATGATACAGGGCAGGTTACTTTTGAGTCGACTCAAAAGTCACCTGAGTCGACTCAAAAGTCACCTCGCAATCAATGCGGGTGATGCGCACGATGATACAGGGCAGGTTACTTTTGAGTCGACTCAAAAGTCACCTGAGTCGACTCAAAAGTCACCTCGCAATCAATGCGGGTGATGCGCACGATGATACAGGGCAGGTTCACCCCGGCAAGTTGATTTGACTTTGAGTCGACTCAAAAGTCAACTCGGGTGATGCGTACGATGATACAGGGCAGGTTCACCCCGGCACGTTGATTTGTGAGTCGACTCAAAAGTCAACTCGGGTGATGCGCACAATGATACAGGGCAGGTTCACCCCGGCAGGCCACGTGGCCTTCACTACTCTCCCCATCCCCCCTCCTCTCCCTTCGCTCCCACCAGTGTCTGGCGCCATCAATGCGTGTGATGAGTGCGAGGATCGCGGCAAGCCGGCAGTGAAGGCTGATTTACCTCAGCCCTCTCCTCCCGCCGCCCTTTCCCCCCTTTTCCACCCACACACACCCACAACCACCAGTGTCTGGCGCAATCAATGCGTGTGATGAGTGCGAGGATACGGGGCAGGTTCACCCCGGCCTTCAAAGCAGAGTCCCTGTGTGCGCCCAGCTTGTCCCCTTTCCCCCTTTTTCATCCACACACCCACGCCCCCCACCAGTGTCTGGCGCAATCAATGCGTGTGATGAGTGCGAGGATACGGGGCGGGTTCCAGCCGTCCTTCAAGGCGGAGTCGCTGTGTGCTCTCTCCCCCCCGTCGTCCTTGTCTCCCAACCCCTTAACCCCCCCACACCCACCAGTGCCTGGTGCCATCGATGCGAGTGATGAGTGCGAGGATACGAGGCAAGTTCCGGCCAGCAGTGAAGGTGGCTTCACCTTTTCACCCGGCCTTTGAGGCGCCTCAAAATTCCCCCCAACACTGACACCCACACCCACACACACCAGTGCCTGGCACCATCAATGTGGGTCATGAGTGCGAGGATACGAGGCAGGTTCACCCCGGCCTTCAAAGCAGAGTCCCTGTGTGCGCCCAGCTTGTCCCCTTTCCCCCTTTTTCATCCACACACCCACGCCCCCCACCAGTGTCTGGCGCCATCAATGCGTGTGATGAGTGCGAGGATACGAGGCAGGTTCAGGCCGGCCTTCAAGGCGGAGTCCCTGTGTGCTCCCAGCCCCTTCCTTTTCCCCTTTCTCTCCCCCTCTGTTCCCCCAAACACCCACACACACCAGTGCCTGGTGCCATCGATGCGAGAAATGAGTGCGAGGATACGGGGCAGGTTCACCCAGTTCCCCCCGTGCCTCTCTCCTCTCTCTTCTCCCCCTCTCTTTTCCATTCTTTCCCTACTCACACCAGTGTCTGGCGCCATCAATGCGGGTGATGAGTGCGCGGATACGGGGCAGGTTCAAGCCGGCCTTCAAGGCGGAGTCGCTGTGTGCGCCCACGCAGTGTGAGGCGAGTGCTTGGAGCGATGCCGGGTGGTGTGCCTTCGATAACAACTTCTCGCTCACTGTGAGTGTAGGGAGCGTTGTTAAGGGGGCTCTTGTGAGTGCGGGGACAGGATGTGGGGGGTAAGTCACGCTCTTGCTGGTGTGCCTTCGATAACAACTTCTCGCTCACTGTGAGTGTGATTTCTACTACCGGTACATTTGCTTAAGATTCAAAATGGTTTTTACAACAACTATTGTCTCTAATCTGCATATGTCTGTTGTCCGTCTTTCTGTTTGTCTGTCTCTTTCGAATCAATCGATCCTCATCTTGCACCCCGTTTTCCTTTCGCAAATCAACCACACTACATTTCGCTACGATCCTTTGAAAACAAAAACGCCTACATCCATGCATTCCGATAATTTCACGGACTGGGTTGGCATGGCAAACCGCAGTACAAGCCAGTGCAGTTCCTCTGTGTGTCTGTTCCCCACAATCATTCGATTCTCTTGCTGTGCCCTGCCTTCCCCACCACACAGATCAATCACACAACGTTCCACTACGATCCACTGAAGATGAAAACGCCTACATCCATGCACTACGACCATTTCACGGACTGGGTCGGCAAGCCACAAGACAAGCCGGTGCAATTCCTCTGTGTCTGGCGGTTTGTCCGTCTGTCTGTCTAATTACCCCAATCATCCTCTCCGCATCTTGCTCTCTCCCCATCTTACGCAACCCACAGATCAACCATACAACGTTCCACTATGATCCGTTGAAGATGAAGACCCCAACATCCATGCACTACGACCATTTCACGGACTGGGTCGGCAAGCCACAAGACAAGCCGGTGCAATTCCTCTGTGTCTGGCGGTTTGTCCGTCTGTCTGTCTAATTACCCCAATCATCCTCTCCGCATCTTGCTCCCTCCCCATCTTACGCAACCCACAGATCAACCATACAACGTTCCACTATGATCCGTTGAAGATGAAGACCCCAACATCCATGCACTACGACCATTTCATGGACTGGGTCGGCAAGCCACAAGACAAGCCGGTGCAATTCCTCTGTGTCTGGCGGTTTGTCCGTCTGTCTGTCTAATTACCCCAATCATCCTCTCCGCATCTTGCTCCCTCCCCATCTTACGCAACCCACAGATCAACCATACAACGTTCCACTATGATCCGTTGAAGATGAAGACCCCTACATCCATGCACTACGACCATTTCACGGACTGGGTCGGCAAGCCGCAAGACAAGCCGGTGCAATTCCTCTGCGTGCACTTCCAAGGTCCCCGAAAGTCGATGATAATGCAACCCGATCCGACAAGCCATTGGGGCTCAAGCCCTGATTGATGATGAAGGCTTATAAAACAGTTATAAAAATGAGTTTGTTTCTGAATGAATAACGTGTCGATGTTGATCTTCGTGTTGTGTATCCTTCATATTTTATATGCAATTCGTATGTTTAGTGCAACTATTTGCTTCTCGTTTATGGCTCCATGCGGTCGCTCCTAAATCGAGCCCAGCGAAGGCGCCAATACACATACCAACTTTCATTTGACTCGAGACACGTATCATAGCTAGCTACTCTCCACCTTGCGCGCCGTTGACGTAGCCCGTATTACCGTCAATCCTTTCCGACATCGCGCTTTTGTCGTACCGCCGTCGCCCTGACGGGAAACGGCGAAGCGCATGCGATGGCGGAAAGGCGCACGCTTCCGCGCGCGTAAGGGTGAAGCGCGGAAGTTGCGACCGTGACGTCAACGGCGCGGGGAGCGGAGGGCGGAGAGCGGAGAGCGGGGGACGGGCAGCGGGGAGTGGGGGAGTGAGGGTCTGGTGGCTCGTTTAGCGGGGCGCGTTTACTTAGAACAGCTGCACAAACATAGTTTCTCTCGATTAGAGGCTTGATAGTGCATCAAGCAGTCTTGATGGCGGCGCGGAGCGGGCCTGCGTCCGTACTCCTCGTGCTGACCGCGTTGTGCGTGAGTAGCGGGGCGCGGCATGGTATGGTGTGGTGTGGTGTGGTGTGGTGCGGTGTGGTGTGGTGTGGTGTGGTACGATATGGCCGCTGCCGATCCCTTGGGTTTTGACCTTCTGCTCATTCCCTCTACCTGTCTCCTACCTACACCCCTTGTCTACAGGGCAGTTGTACTCGCTATAGTGTTCCTCCTTTTCGCGGATGTGATCCTGATCGGCATTTTCAAGCGCTTTCCAGGCCACTCAGCCGATGGGGCCCTATCTGTCCTCCATTCCACGTCAGCAGCAGCCACGTCAGCAGCCAACGCGTCAATAATCTCAGATCTGCTGCAGCAGGAGGAGGCGCGTCAGCAGCAGCTACGTCAGCAGCAGTTGCGTCAGCAGCAGGAAAGAAACGAGAAGCTTCCTATGCTAACCCTCCTCCTGCTTAAAGCCAAAGATCCAACGGTGCAGACTCCTGGGAACGTTGCTGCTGCTGATCCTGCTGCTAATGCTCCTCCTGATAGCCCTGCTGCTCCCACTGACCCCGCTAGCCCTGATGCTTCTTACCCTGCTTCTGCGGCTCCTGCTGTGGCGACTCCTCCTGCTGTGGCTGCCACTGCCTCTGCTGTTCCGGCTGCTGCAGATGCTGACATCGTTCCCATGACGGCACAAGGGGCGGCTTATAATGCTGCTGTGGTTGCTGCTGGTAGCAGCACTGGTGCAACTACCCTCCCTACCCTCCCTACCTCCACTAGCGACACTAGCGCCAGCAGCGCCACTAGCGCCATTAGCAGCACTAGTGGCACAGCTCAAGCCAACGCCCAATCGGGCGGCGCCAGCCGTGCAGGCCTGATCCCAGTGGTGCAGTTTCTGCGGGGGGAG